ATATACTATTCTGATTTGACATCGATATGGAAAGAACTTGATCACTACCAGAATGTGAATTGGAAGTGTGATGAAGATGCAAAGGCGTATAAGTCACTTGTATCTCAGCAACGGGTCTTTGCCTTTCTCCTAGGGCTGAATCCTTCATATGAGTCCATCAGGGTGTAGATCTTGGGTAGTAAAGACTTTCCATCAGTTCAGGAGGTGTATGCCTTAGTGCAGTCAGAAGAAAGTAGAAGAAGTGTGATGAATTGTGTAGAGGGGGAGTCAGTTGCCCTAGTTGTCCGAGGAAATTTAGATACAAATGTCGGAGGTGTTTTTAAGAAAGACGACTCTCAGAAAAGAACAGATGATAAGAGTAAACTTTGGTGCACTCACTGCCAAAAAACACGACACACAAGAGATACATGTTGGGATCTCCATGGAAAACCTAAATGGGCACAAGATTTGGGTAAGAAGTCAACACCTGATCAGGGCAAGAAACCAAGCCAACAGAATCAGAAAAAGTATAACTCAGCTAATATGGCGTCAACAGAGACTAGTCCATTGGTAACTCAGGAGGGGCATCCCAATTCTGACCCTAAGGAAGAAATTATCAACTCCTTTCGTGACCATTTGTAATTGTATGGTAAGACTCTCTGCCAGATGGATTATGGTCCTACTCCCTCTACCTCTTTCGTTACATCAGGTAATACTGCCACTGCCTTCCATGTGTCATCCCATACCATTGATTCTCCTTGGGTTATTGACTCCGGAGCCTCAAACCACATGGCCGGTAAGTCAAATTTATTTCAGACATATAACCTTCTCTCTGGGAAAGATAAGGTGAGACTAGCTGATGGTTCTTTCTCTACCATAGTTGGCCAAGGTACCATACCTCTCCCACTTGGCCTTACCCTTTCTAATGTACTGTATGTTCTGAAATTACCTATTAATTTGTTGTCCATTAGTAATATTACTCATTCTTTGAACTGTTCAGTCACTTTTTTTCCGTCTTCATGTGTGTTTCAGGATTTGACCTCGGGGAAGACGATTGGTAGAGGAAGCATGGTGGATGGTCTCTACATGTTGGAGAATAAAGCTGGTCTTGTGGCTACAGAGTCCATGAGTTTGTCAAGTGAGAGTCAAGCCTATTTATGGCATAGTCGTCTAGGTCATCTTTCTTTTGAGTCATTTAAAGTTATGTTCCCAAAGTTGTTTGAGTCCTTGTCAGTGAGTCAGTTACAGTGTCAGACATGTTAATTGAGTAAACATTGTAGAAGTTCTTTGCCTTTGAGAAATAAAAGATCTGAATTTCCATTTCGTATTGTTTATTCTGATGTTTGGGGCCTTGTTAATCTACCCACTGAGACTGGATATAAGTACTTCATTACCTTGATTGATGATTACTCTAGATACACTTGGGTTTACCCTATGCGATCTCGAGATGAAGTGCCAAAAATTGTGAAAGACTTTCAACGCATGGTGTTCACTCAGTTCCAAACTGAAATCCATATCTTCCAGTCGGACAATGCGAAGGAATAATTTCATAGTGATCTCACGGAGTTCTTTGCTTCGAGTGGGTCACTTCAGCGAAACTCTTGTGCCAAGACACCCCAACAAAATGGTGTTGCTGAACGAAAGAACCGTCACCTTCTCGAAGTAGCTCGTGGCTTTTTAATTCATATGAATGTGCCAAAACGTTTTTGGATGGATGCAGTTTTGTGTGCTACATACATCATCAACCGTATGCCATCTCGGTTACTAGAGTATAAGGCCCCACATCAGCTTTTGTTTCCTACAGCTCCGTTGTTCACCACTCCGATGCGTGTTTTTGGGTGTCATTGCTTTGTCCATAACCTGTCCCCTACTCGAGGCAAGCTTGATCCTCGGGCTATTCCTTGTGTTTTCCTTGGTTACCCTTTATCTCAAAAGGGGTATCGCTGCTATGATCCTACCTCTCTCAAGTACTATGTCTCCATTGATGTATCCTTCTTTGAGAATCAACCTTTCTTCTCGGTTTCTCCTCAGGGGGAGAGTAGGGTTGAGGAGAAACAGGCGACTCAAACTCAACTACCTCCTTTACCCGATCCTCATCCATTCCAGGTTTTTCATCATCACCATAAAAGCCAGCAGAGTTCAAGAGCCGTGGAACCTGACACTATGCAACCAACATCATCGGATTCACCGGAGGCAGATCCGTCTCATCAGCCATGTACACTTGCTCCTATTGATATGCCTGTTCCTCTAAATGTTGATTCACCTGTCATCAATGATCTTGATATTCCTATTGCTAAGAGAAAGGGTGTTAGATCTTGTACCACTAATCATCCTATCTCTAATTTTGTGTCCTATGAT